CCCCCCCCCTCAAACACCCCCAAAAGGCATCACCGCTGGCGGCCTGGGCTGCGCCAAGCTTCACCCATGCGCCAGGTGGGTTGCCCAGCGCTGCCGCGGGAAAGCCTCTACACCACCCTGCCGCCTGCGCTACGAGCTGTGGGCGGAAGGCTCTGCCGAACTGTGGGCAAATTTGGGTGCAGCAGCCATGATTTACCTCAGCGGAGAGATCGCCGACCGAGCAAAATCAGGCGCAGGACCAATAGCGCGTAGCTTCTCGGCTGAATCCATCGCATTGCAAGTTAACCGGCAAAAATTGCTGGAAATCGTACCCCGCCCCAACACTCGCCTATACAAAGTCTCCATCTTGACGGACTCCGGCCACCCCTCATGGCAGTCCGAACGTGCCTCCTAACAGGAACCGATCCAATATTACGTCCACTATGGAATTCGTTATTTGGCGCACAACGCCTCAAAGCGCGCTGCCGTCGACAATTTATATTTGGCTATTGTGCCGTTGCAAAAACGAAGCGTTCGATAGAGATGCCAAGGCGGCCTCCGATCATCCACAGTTCGAGGACACGCTGGTACCAGATGTATTTGCGTTGGTGAAACTCCACCTACGCATTCAGCATCGAAAATCGTCCACTCACCGCTCCGGCATTACTGACCATTGGAACCCTACACGCAGTGACCCCACCTTAACTCAGGAAGGGGAAGGGGCACTGGCTCGCCTTCGCGCTGGCGCATCTCACCGCTGGGGATTGCTACTGCAAGCATTGCGGCCAACCAGGCTAATGACAAGCAGATGGTGTAACCCAATAGAGCCTCTTGTTTCTCTCTCAAAAGCTTCGAATGGAACACCATCCAAGAGGCCTAGCGGCAGCGTCGCTGCGTTAGTGTGGCAGGGTCGACTTCACGGTTTCACAAAGTCACTTCCCCTGCGCGGACGGGTATGTTCCACCATATCACCGTAATGATTTTTGTTTCGTATATATCCAGATTGTTTAGAAAGCCAGACATCCAACCGCTGCGGAGCCGCCGGACACCCCGCCAGAACCCCCTCCACCAGACCTGACGCCGAACCGCGCAACACAGGACATGACGACGGAGCCAAATCCAATCGCAAAGAAGCGTCGAAGAAAATTCGCTTCTCGTTTACGCGCGGCGTTGTTAAAGTCCAGGAGGGACCAACACGACGCTTTTGTCACCTACACCACCAATAATGCCCAAACGCCGAACGCAAGCCCCAACGCGATGCCGCAAAGAAGGCTAAAAACTTGACTTTTCAATTCAAACGCTGCGGACCCAGGGCCCTACCTAGGGTGGGGCTCCTCCCCCGCACCCGTGCCAAGCATCGCCGCCCACCCCACCAACCAAGCGCAGCACAACCACGAGAAACTATGTTGTACGATATGTCAAAATATAATCGGCAAAGGCTAAGCAATAAGTATCAACATGGAATGCGAGTACAAAGTTCGGCCGATCAAACCGAGACGAAAACGTGACAAATCCACACTGAGCCTCCTAAAGGGAGGGGCGGGGGGAAAAGTTCGTTTCTAAATGCAGCTGCGATAAAACAGGAAGCGGCTGATAAAGCATTACCATGCTTTCCAGAGCGTAACAGAAAGGAGACAACCCCCACCACAGAAGCACCGATAAAACACGAGAGGGCTGACACATCAGCCCTGGAGCAGCGAAAGGTAGCACAATGCGTGGAACACGTGAAATGATTCGCCCGCATAGGCTCAGCCAAGTTTCACTGCGGAAGGTTCCATACAGGAAAAAAGGTGCCCACAAATGGAAAACGCTGAATGCTACAAAATGATCCCCCTGCACACATGTCCGCCCACCATGGCTTTGTATGCTTGACGGGGGTGAACCACTGCCGCAGCAAACATTAGCCCCCAATGCGCTAGATGGGTAGGCGTAGTTTCACACCTGGTGCCACGAAGCCGAGCCAACGCGCAGGGTGTGAAGAGATGGGCTTGCACTTATAAAGCTGCCGCGCACTAAAGAGTCTCCGATGCAACTTTGCTGCGGGGATGGGGCAGCGTGGAGAAGCTATGCTTTATGGAAAAGCCAGGTCTAGTACCTTCTTGCGGTGGAAGCGGTTTGGCCCCAACGACCTTTCACCCCTCTGCGCATACAGCGCCTATCACGCGGGACCAGGGGCGACGCATCACCCACCCCTGTTTGCCTCATTGGTTGATTCGTTTCATGATTCGTCCAAGAAAAAAGCGCCCCACACCTCCGCACTGATTCGCCGAATTCGGGGCAAGCAAGCCTGCGAGATTCCAGAAGAGGGGAACGGCCGACGGCAGCCTCCAGCTCGCAGTTGCCCACAGGCGGGGCCACAACCCAGCGATAAACAACATACAACGGTAACGAAACTAACAATAGAAGGCGGCAACGGAAAACAAAACCTCTAAAAAAAAGAAGGGCTTTCCGCCATATCAAAGGTAAGTGGCGACGGCTTGCTCTTCAAGACTGGCTGGTCGGAAAGCGTCGCCAGCTAAAACTGGGAAGGCTTAAGGAATCAAAGAAAAAAATGGAAAATGAAGAACCAATGGGCTGGCGAGGGAATGCCGGTTGTAATGTTTTGTGCGGTGGCATGGCGAACAGGGTTGCTTAATAGCACCGGCGTGCTCTGCAGCAGCGCGTCTGCAATATTGAAGTGCGCCTGGACCCTATGCCATCGGGGCGCGCCATTTGGTTAAGTACACTTAGGCCCTTCTGGTGGCGCGCCCATTTTAAATTAACTAAAGCGAATATGCCCCACCAAAATATACTCACGAAGCGCGCTGTCTTCACGGCGGCGTTCGCAGCGATCCTGCGTTCCACTGGGGCGGAAACAGGCGTCTGAGAGTTATGTTTAGTTCCAGGATAGCAATTTCTGCTGATGAACTGCAAAGACACTAAATTAGCGGATTCTCGATAGCCAGTTAGTTTGCGAAATACGAACAAGTCTGGTAAGTGAAAACTAGGCAGCGGATGCAGAGCAGAAGGTGATGGCGCCCAGAACCTGCATAATGCCGTGGAATTGCTTTTGCTTACCATAACATTTTTGGCATCACTACGGCCATACTGCTCGGTACAATGGGATTGGCAAGGGTATGCGCAATTCGAAAATCAGAAACGACAGGTTTGCCGGCTGCGCGGGCCGCGTGGGCATAAACCCCGTGCCCAACATTGGGAGGAAGTACCGCCAAAAAGCTTGCAGCGTAAAAGGGCAGCCGCAGTTATAGAGAATACCTTCCCAACCCCCATAAAGAACGGCAAGTCCCCAATCATGTTTTCTGACGGTGGTGGCCACTGGTGTTCCACAGCCGCGCGGAACATCAAGGGCGAGGATGCCGCGCAAATTGTTTAACAGGGGTGGGGTGGGGGCGAAAATGGACAGGGGGGAATCCCCCACCCGTGGTGGGAAGAAAACCGCCGCCATTACAGACGCCCGGGGCCCTCACATGAGACCTTTCCCCTTCCCAAGAGGGACCGATAACAGCTTCAGCGGCAACTGTGCCTAATCTCTTTGCAACCTTTTTGTGCTAGTTGCCGCGGTTGCTTCTGTGATGTTCGTTCGCCGATTTCACGCGCAGTCACGCAACAAACTTTCTGCTCACTGTTCTGTGCAGCGGCCTCCTCTCATCCAACGCGGTCGCATATATTTTTTCTTTCTTTGCTCCCCCCGCCCGCATTTCTACGATCCACAGGCTAAAAGGAAAAATATTTTTGTGAAACTTACCGCCGCCACAAATACCGGCGGGTCTGCAATGGTCGGACCTTTCTTGCTCCCGTTCTATTCTTCACGGTTGCGGTGCGCCCTCGGATGCCACAGCGGCGTAAAGGCAAAGCGCGGTTTAAATTGGAAGAAGTGAACGCCTTCGTGTTTAATTTAATAATGTTGAGCGGAACATTGCCTTTTACCGCATCTTTTTCGGACTGGCGTTAACGCCGACCAACGGTTCCCAGACATGTTTTGTCTCAAAGGGGCGTGCTTTTTTTTCACTTTTTCTCTGCTTCTAGAAAAATGCAACGGCACACTCATTATTTGACTCCACTCTGTATTCTTTGGTGCTTTTTGAGGGCGACAGTTGTATGTGGGCCGTTGCCGTTTTACCAAGCGCTATTATCGAAAGCAGGAGCCATGCACACCATACTCTTTACGCGCTTCGTTTGCGTACGGTTCCTCCCTTTTTTTGCTAGCGTGTGAGCAATGAATCATGTAGGGTTGCTTTTGTTTTTAGAAGTCTGCGAAAGAAATGGCCAAGCCGCACTCAATTTGTTTAAATAGGAGGCCCCCCAACCCACCACCACTGGCGTCTTCACCCCCCGCTGTAGGAAAGTGTCGCGAAGTGTGGGTTTTGTAAACGAAAGGCAAGCCACAAGTAAGAAATGCTTCCCAGCAGCCCCAAGAAGGCCCCCGTGGGCGTGGAATGGGTGGCGGGCCTGTTGGCTCTCTTGGCGCTCGTCGAACATTGCGGTCGGACCCCTTTTTCTTTTTTCCAGAGACCGAATTTCATTACGCAGGCCGATCGCGCCGAGGGCATATTAACAATTAAAAACTGTGAACTTATCATTTGCTTGGGGAATGGTGCAAAAGCCAGTTTTGTTTCTTTGTGGCACTCCATTGTGCCGCTTGGCAAGCCAAAGAACGAGAATTTTCTGAAGGCATTCGACGATGCCAGGGCGACTTTTCGAACTGAGTGGATGGCGCTGGGGGAAAGCAGGTCAATACTGCATCAGCCGTATGAAATGGCCAGGGCGCAAATGGCTGAAGAAAATATAAAGATCCAACAGGGCGCCTACGCTCAAACGGTTGGATCACATGATTGCATTAATCAAATGCCGAAACAGATTAACACGTTGGGATCGCATAAAAACCAGCTGCGCGATGAAAAAAACCAGACGCAGTCTCAAATCCATTAGATGAAGGCGCGATTTGCCCAAATTGAAAAACAAACGAGACTGCCGGCGCGGCGGGGTGCAACAGAGGGTGGAAACGACTTTGTTCCACCTGACGCTCACACCGTGACGCATACTGCCGAGATGGGCGGGCATGCCGAGCGGCCGTTTAACGCGTTGGGGGCTCAACCCCAGGTGGGTTTGCGAGGGATCCGTGAGCTCACAAATCAGTTCGTGGAAAAGGGTTTCCGACCTGAAGAAAATATCCGAACTTTTGAGGGCGCCTTGGGGTATTTATTTGGGACCTCCCCGGAACAGTTTTTGGCGGCGTATCGTGGTTTTTTCCCCTTGCCCATGAAGCCCGGATTTGATCTAGGTCAAGCGTGGGGCAATTTTGTGGCATGGGTTCATGCCATCCGCCGCGGGGGTAATTTCGGCCGAACAGGCGCAATTGGGCAGACGGCTGTATTATCAGCTTCGGGTGGCTCAGGCGGCGAAAGAAAAACCCGGAGTCAGCTTCCAAACCCTTGCCCATGCCATCGGCGATCCCAGAAGAGATGAAGACCCGGTTTTTCAGGCGGTCCAGAAAGCGAAAAAGCACCCCGCCCCTCCCCCAAGACATGCGAGTTGTTTTTTGATGCGGCCGCACCGGGCACCACAGCACAACACGCCATGCGCAATTGAAAAAGGCGCCGCTGAAGCCAAAAAACGATTATCGGCCCCGGGCAAAGAACTCTGGGACCCGGAAAGCATTGGGATCCTTGCCGGGTGCTTCGGGTGCTGCCGGGTAGCCGGGAAAAGGGCAGTTCGCCAGAGGAGGGGGCCAGCACACCACCCCACCACGCCCAGCCCCACGGGCGCCCCCCGCTTGGGAAGGATCAGCTGGCACAGGTTCTTCCGCCATTAAAAACCTCAGCAAATGAGATTGCAGTAATTTCGGCACCGCCACGCGACCCATATGTTGCAGCGCTGGCGCCCGGGGCGAATCGCATAGCCAAGGGCATGTGGACCCATTCGGCTTGGGAAGAAAGGGCGTCCATAATGCGAAGATTCTGCGACTTCGCGAAAAGCAAGAATTTAGAGGTTCAGAAGGAAAACGTTCCTCTTTTTATATTAAGTCTACAACTTACCAAAAGCAGCACGGTGCAATACACAAGAACTTTGTTGACCTTACTGGCCTCGGGGGGATCACCGGCTCAGATGTTTTTGGCCGGCCTTCAGCGAAAGGCGGACGCAAGTCCCATAAAACAGGCTCGCCCCTTGGAGAGATGGGAATGGGATATCATCAGCGATTTGCCGACCCTAGAAAACGATCGGGTAGCCCTACGACCCGCCTGGTTCACAGCCGCTCGGTGGGGTGAAAGCGCTCTACCCCAAAAGGAAAATTTTATTGCCCTCCCTCAAAACAAGGAAGCCCTCATTGTTGATTAGGGGGCTCTCCCAAAGAGAGTTAAAATCGACCCTCACAGAGCGGCACGGTACGCGGTTATCGGGGGAGAAGGTGCAAAAAGAGCAAGAGGCGTTGGCAAGGGAATGGTGGAGGGGGAACGGCTCACAACGCTAACGGCAAGAGGCATGGAAAATGTACTCCGCCCATTTGGCATGACAGCGCATTCCATAAAAAGAGAGACACTGGCGCATGCAGCCGCAGCAGTGATCGAACACGATCTCGACCCTCGACTGCGGGCTCAGTTGGGGAAACACGCAGACACTCTATAATTATTACGCAGCGCAGCTCGCTGCATAGGTCATTGGATCACCCTGGTAAACAAGTCGGCACACCTGACGGCATATATCTAGACAAGGTCAGCAAATGGGCTCTGACCCCATGGGCCTATCCGGATAGAGAGCAGGATGAGGTACAACTTTTTCAAGGGCATAGCATTTTGCGACGCACCCATCACACACGGGTGAACGATAGGAACGGTGAAAGAAGGTTCCCGTTACAACAGGTAGATGTGGATACTTTCTCATTGCATTGGTTCCGGAGCCAAATCGATTCCAAGGCTCTGGAACGGTTTAACACAGCATGGGACTTGGTCCAACAGCCAGCTAGTGCCAGGACAGGGGAACAAGACCACCTATTGAGGGTGACGGAAAGGGGTGGACAGGCTATGAAGAAGGCCTGGGTTATTCAAACCGCACCAAAGCTACACGCTGCCGGTTGAGTGGTGCCTTTTGCGGTCGTGGAGGAAAAACCGTCAGGGCAGCGGCACCGTTACATTGCCTGGCCAAAAGCAAAAAAATGAACAAGAGGACTACGAGGCTATGGCCCCTCTGGGGTATATTTCCCAGCACCTGGGTGCGGTTTGTGATAGAACAGCTGCCCTTTTTGATCTAAAGGCATCTTTTTTCCAGGTAGACTTGCCAGCAGAGATGCACAGAAATTTCCGTTGTTGCACGGAAAAGGGTGAGCTTGTAGAGTTCACACGGTTCCCATGGGGCACAAACATTGTCCGGAAAGTTTGCATACCATCGCAAGGGTTTTGGTTGGTGACCCTGAAGTCGTCAAACCGCGTTGCGAGGCCCCGCCGGAGCTAACTCTATACGTGCGGATGGGTGATATTCGTATCGCGGGGCCGCGTAAAAGCGTAGAGCCATGGGGGGGGGGGCAATGTTGCGAAAAAAACGCGCGAATGCGGCGCGGCGGCGGGAGAGCATGGGGCCCCCACCGCGCGCCACGAGCCCATAGGGGTTTGCCCCAAACCACGCGGCCAAGACGGCGCCCCCCAGCGAGAAAACGTTACAGAAATTAAAGGGCGCCACGCCCTTCAAAAAGATTTCGGC